TTATTATTTTTGGCCCCAACCATATTTTTTAATTATTTTTAATATAAAAATGATAATAATGACATACACATAAGATTATTATCACTAATATTATAGTAGAATTTAATAAAAAAATATTTTTTTGGTCATAATTTATAGTAATTATTTCTCTAGGTGATTATAAATATCAATTATTTTTTCCCGGTGTTCGGTGAAGAAAAGTGAATTCTTTAGGAAGAGATTTACGTGTCTTTTGAAGTAAATTAAAAGCTTTTCTTTTCTAAGAAGAATGTCTCTTAAGTAGTAATTTCATATGTGGCTGCGATATATTTCACGATACTATATCTTTAATTCAGACTTCGGCATATGTAAAAATTTAACTGCAAGGTTCGGCCCTGTTGCACGCATCATTCTCTCATCTCGCACTGAGAGTGCGTGCGTGCGTGTGTCCGCACACAGAGTGCCATGTGTTCCGTTGACGGCGGATATAATGTACGCCTACCCACGGAAATACGCTTCTTGACGGATCGCCCGACTAATTCGGTAGTTGTCACCGGGTATGCACGTGGATTGATGACGACCACCTAGCCGTACTCGCCGCGAATTCCTCGGAAATTCTTCGGTCTCGAGGAAGAAACTGAAGAACTTGGCTGCTTAATTGGGACTTTTGGCTCGGCAATAATGACGATAATAATAGAGCCTTAATTTGCTCGACTACTTCGCGCGTGTCTAGACAAGAAAGTCTCCACGTGTTTTATTTCTTTTTCTTTTTTCTGTGTCACTTATGACCTTGGAGCAAACTTTAATTGTTTCCGAAAACCGAGAGAAACACGAGCGATTCAATTTGAAAGGCACGTTGAGCTATGTTGTCTTTGAGTCCTCGTAAATTGCGACGAATATATTGTAATAGTGATAAATAACACGTTCAATTTTTATTTATTCTTAGTTACGAGATAAGTCTGGGAATAAGACGATGAGAACGAGCAACATTAATTTGATGTTAATATTGCCATACGATTTACACGGAAACCTAATTATGTATGCGCGAAAATAAGATTTACCACGAAATATTCGCAGTAAAAAATAAAGCTATAAGAACTTATAATAGATAATTATAAGAATTTATAATAAATAATTCTGTCGTCCAAAAAAACGCTACGTTTTTGTTATTTGAAGGAAAGTGTAATTCACTATATAAATTGTTTGTTTCATTTTATATATATATATATATATATATATATATATATATATATATATATATAA